TCTGCCACCTAATGGACAGAGCCAGGGATGCAGCTAAGCAATGCACAGGACAGTTTGACCACAAAGAACTGGAACCAAAAATGTTAACAATGCCAAGGTTGTGAAACCCTGAGCTATACCAAAAATCATAGACAAAAAATCCCCACAAAACAATCCTGACACTCCAGATGGTTTGGAGGCTAGTGATGGGGGGGGGCCATTTTCATGGCCCTAAAAGTTTGGTGCCTGCGCCACACCTTGCCCTCTTCGGCAGCTCCCATGATGCATCTGTACAACCACAAGAAATGAAGACAGATCCAAGTTCTTAAATGTGCTGGTCTTATGCCGTGCTACGAGTTCTGCTAAAAGTGTTTTAGGGGAAGTGGTTGGAATTAAAAGTTAAGACTCAGTTTGGGCTTTATCAGCTTTTAGCCATTAACCATTACTCTGCCCATTATCACGCATAATCAAAAGTTGGCTCTGTTTGTAGCAACGACTCACGGTTTTGATCTTTGTGAGTTTTAGAGTCTGAATAGGAGGCCCAGGAAGGACCTGGCAGTCAAAACAGAGTCAAGCTTATGCCTTGGTAAAGAGGAAGCTCTTAGGTGCTGCAATTCAGCTTAACAAACACATGGGGATATTTCTAATGTAAGAACTAGCAGTTTCTCAAAGTATGTGACAATATCATTCATCCAATTATGAGTTAAATTCAAGCATTTTGTCAATGACCTAGACTCTAACTGAAGGGGAAGTCAATGGGCCATGGTGGCCAGGAGTCAGGAAAATCAAGTCAGAGCTGACTGAGGATTCACAAAAGTGAGCAGCAGCAGCAAGCAGAGACATCGCCACTCCAGGGCCCAAGGAACCAGTGCACAGGCACCTGAACCCCTGCAGCAGCTCTGGGTCCCAGTGCAGGCTCCACCCCTGCCAGTTAATGTCTTTTGTTCTCAACTCCACTATGAACAGTTGATTCCATGCCTTTACTTAGACATCAGTGCAGGACATAGAAAGCTGAGTCAAAATCAAAAGTCAGAAACACATTTCTACTTTCAGAAAATGGCAAATAAAACGGAGGTTCTCCATGCTGTGGCACCTGGAGGCTAACTGGAGAAAGTGAAGGAATCCACACCTGTAGCCACTGAAAACCCTGATCAAAAGCAGGTCACGCACACTCACAAACTCCCACACACACATGCGTCTTCTCTTAAAAAATAGGGTCTAAGTGACTCCTAAAGGCAAGACTGCAGAAGACTGCTGAAGGGCCTGTGTACATGCTCAGACTCATCAACAAGCACAAAATATGCTGCCCATACAGCCCCACTGGCCTAGAGCTGAACTGATCTGAGTTTGAACTTGTCTAGTCATATTAGCTGCCCAATTTGCTTTTGGTGAGTTACTTGGCATTCGAAGCATCTGTGCGCTCATTTGCATGATAGAGGTAAAAGAAACTCACTGGCAAGACTCTACTGTGTTACCCCAAATTTCAGGCAATCCATGTCCCCCCCCACTGTGCCATCACCTCAAGTGTCTTGGTGAATGTACCTAGTAGCTCTCTCTGCCCAAAACTCCCCCCTTTTCCCGCGTTGCCTGACTAACTGGAGGGAGCACACTGTCCGCACTCATCGTCACGTGCTCTCACCATTCCTGAAGCTGGCTGGTGCTGGTGCTGGTGCTGGTGCTCGTTCTGCTTCCGTGCTGCTGCCTCCCATGACAGCCCTTGCTGCACCCCGAAGTGCCACTTTGTTCAGCTTCCTTCTAGACTGTGACCTTCCTAAGAGGTCCCTTGGCCGATGGATTTCCACAGTGCCTAGCAAACATGTTCTGATAAGCAAATGAACAGAAGGTCTTGGCAAAGGAAGAAAATTGGGAATATGCCAGTGGTTCTCAACCTGTGGGTCGCAACCCCTTTGGGGGTCGAACGACCCTTTCACAGGGGTCACCTAAGACCATCAGAAAACACATATATAATTACATATTGTTTTTGTGATTAATCACTATGCTTTAATTATGTTCAATTTGTCACAATGAAATTGGGGGTCACCACAACATGAGGAACTGTATTAAAGGGTCGCGGCATTAGGAAGGTTGAGAACCACTGGAATATGCGAAGCCAAAGGCTACAATGCATCTTAAGAACACAAGAGTTCAACAAGGAGAAATCCACACCATCAAGTGCTACAGAGAGGTTAGGAAAAGTAAGTGGGGAAAGAAGGATAAATTATAAGTGACGTCCCTGGCAGCCTATGGAAGCTGTGAGTGTCAAACATTCAATGTTCAGGGCAATGAAGGAAGATAAGAGGCTTATTCTTTCAGGTGAAGGAGAGAGTGAGCTTCCCCAGCTGAGCTAGAGGGAGCACAGACCAAAAGCCACGAGGAGAGCAGAAGGAGCCAGCCACTGTGAGAATTTAATAAGGAGCAAGTAGAAACAACTTTATGAGAAGCAAGAGGGATGGTCAGTTACAGAGAAAAATATAGTGATTTCCATGAAATAAACTGGCATACTTGTAATGACTTCCTCTTAACAGAGGTCTTGGGCCTAGAAGCAAAGAACATTATTTACCAACCCACAAGGACATTGGGGAAAGAGGCAGGACCAAAAGTCAAGACACAAGAAATTCTAAAATATCCAACTGACCTTGGAATAAGAAAGGCCAGGAGCCCCCTAACCGGTTTGGCTCAGGGGATAGTTCATCGGCCTGCAGACTAAAGGGTCCTGGGTTCGATTCCGGTCAAGGGCATGTACGTTGGTTGCTGGCACATCCCCAGTAGGGAGTGTGCAGGAGGCAGCTGATCAATGTTTCTCTCTCATTGATGTTTCTAACTCTCCATCCCTCTCCCTTCCTCTCTGTAAAAAATCAATAAAATATATCTTTTTTTAAAAATAGAAAGGCCAGGAGCATGATGACATACTTAGAATTGTATAAAAGATTTTTAAAGATAAAATATAAAATATTTATCACATGATCTCACTCATATGTGGGATATAATGATCAACATAATTTGATGAACAAGAATAGATCCAGAGACAAATGGTGTGCG